GGATGCCTTCCTTACCAATATTGCAGAACGATATTTCGTGGAAAGATGACTTTCACTTGGATAGATAACGGATTTTTTCAATCTTCACTCGAAAAGTATCAATTTTAAATGGAAGTTGACACAGAAGGAATAGGACGTGTACCTCATAGGACTTATTTATTTATTTATTTATTTATTTACATATTTCATGCACCTTAAAGTGGACCTAATTTAGAGGCCAGAACTCTTCAATATTAAAATAAAATTGACGGAAAACAGTAAGAATGCAATGACTGACTGACTTATCATCCGTGAATAAGTCAAAAAGTGACAGAAGTGTCGAATCCATATATATCCAGATCTGAGTTTCGGACTCAAACGGAAGTTCGTGGATTTAACATTGATTTATGCCGACATCCATACCCGACAATCTATTTAAGGCTGTCCAGCTTGGTAAAGTCGGCGAAGGGAATCGATCCCTTCATCGTCGTAGCTATAAACTAGCGCGCTAGCCACTACACCAGCAATGCCGACATGCTGGTGGAATAAGCAGAACGACTATTTTGTATTGGTCATTTGCTTGCGGTTTTTCGGTTTTCGAAAAATAACATTCTTATGGGGAGTTTTGCCCTAGTGTTTAGCATTTGATCGACCTTGGAAAAATGAAAGATCGTCTTCTGTTTGAGATGAAAGACTTGGTCCGTTGAGCGCGCACGTGCTTCGAGCCACTTGCCATTGCCTCGCACCATCTCATATGGGGAAATACACAGAGTAGAGTAAGTGAATAATCAGAAAAAAGCTAGTTCATGTCTGGGTCTGTGTTACCCTATCCCCTTTAGATACCTTCTTTTCAAGACGATGTGCGAGATATAAAGGGGGTGGAACTGGAACGGAAAACTTTGCCGTATACTCCCATGGTCCTACCCTGATTGTGGGACAAAAACGATATTTGTCCCAGTCCCCTGAACAAATAGAACTTCCGAATCATCATAAAGGGAGTGCCAAGGAATTGGGAGAGTATCCTTGGTTCAAATGCTTTTTTTTAGCACCAAGTCCTATGGAAAAGCGGAAAACTGGAATGCCCAAAAAGCAGTTGCGTAGACGTATCGTGGAATCTAAGGTGATTTACGTGATCAGCTCGTCTAGACGACGGTATTTAGGCCGACCGATCCCATGTGGGCTACCGTTTTTGTGGGCTATCGGTTGTTCATAAACAGGAACTAAATGAAACAAAGCGCACAGTCAGAGATATCAATCACGTGATATCATCTTGTCTGTGGCCTCTGTTCAGTCCTTACTGTCTCCCCACAGTATCCAATGAGTAGTTTCAAGGCAAGGTGATATTTTTCTATGTATAGAAACCAGTTCCAACCTTGAGAAATCCAACCGGAAACTCTCTTTCCCTCGGGGTACTCCGGCATAGCAAACAACTGTGATGATAGTGAAGCTAGGCTGTTTCTTTTCTTGACCCCCTTACCAAACTTACTCTCCATTTTGAGGTTTCTTATCGTTATTTTTATTTATATTTATTTATATTGTAATTACATTCATAGTATTGTAATATTATTTACTCTTACTACACTTCTACTATGCTATTTATTTGCCTTTCATTTATGTAGTTGATTTTCTTTTCAAAAAAGTGGGTCTTTGNCCGGCATAGCAAACAACTGTGATGATAGTGAAGCTAGGCTGTTTCTTGCCTTGACCCCCCTCTCAAACTTACTCTCCATTTTGAGGTTTCTTATCGTTATTTTCATTTATATTTATTTATACTGTAATTACATTCATAGTATTATAATATTACTACACTGCTACTATGCTATTTATTTGCCTTTCATTTATGTAGTTGATTTTCTTTTCAAAAAAGTGGGTCTTTGGTCTTCAGAGTTCCTGAGAGGCCAGACTGTGATGAACGATAAGAAAGCTTCAACTTCATTGCTGCCTTGATCAAACATATACAAAGAAAACTCGACATCGAGTGACCTGAGATGGTGCCCTGAGATACGAACTTCGGCTGCGTCTTACTTTCCAACATAAGCGTTATGGTGGGGAGCAGCATAAGGTTGTGGGAATGGAGCACCTCCACAACCAACTGGGCCTCCACATGGTGGTGGTGGTGGAGGTGGGAGAGGTGGAGCACATCCACCTCCACATGGAGGAGGAGGAGGAGGAGGAGGAGCACATCCACCTCCACAGGGAGGAGGTGGTGGAGGAGCACATCCACCACCGCATGGTTGAGGAAGTAGAAGTTGTGGAAGTTGAAGCATTGGCAGTCCACCGCCGCATCCGCATGGAGAAGGGGCTCTGAAAATAAAAATACTGAAGGGAAAACAAAAAGTTACTGCCAATATATTCTGAACAAGTAAAACTTACGCGCATCCGCATCCACCAGCTCCAAAAAGGAAGGCGGTTGATCCAGCGACCAAGGCGAGCAAGATAAGTAGTTGCATAGCAACAATGACCTAGACGGAGCGTCAAGATCGCTTTTATAGTTAGCCGAGCTCTTAACCTTTTCATTGCGCTCCCGTCCCATTTTGGACATTTGGTTGTCTCGTTCTCTGCAAACTTTGATATCACTCGGACCTTTTGATTGAGATGGCGATTAAATCGTGACCTTTACCAACCGCTATGGCTCTGAACCTTTGATGTCACAGAGTATAGTAGATATAACGACTTCGAATAGAGTGTAGGGAAGTATTCAAGTTCTTCAACCCGAATATTATCGCCCTGAGATACATTTGCTCGAAGATTTCTTCGAAACGATTCATACCACAGAAAGAGAGTGGTCAACCATGCCGCACTGCAATCGGAATCTCAATTTCAGGAAATTCCCAGCATTTGGAAACACCTCACCCATATGAAAGTGTATATGGTGTCCAGTTCGGTCAAAGGTGATGGGAGACCTGGACTTCTCGGAGAAAGTTATCTCTTATAAAGCTGTCGCAGGTGGTACCACGATTAGATCCATCAGATCTCAGTTCGCTATGGAATCAACCCTTGCCTATTTCAAACACCACTACCGTATGCATGAAAAGGAGATCGGGTATAAACTGAAGAGTCTTCTCATCTTTTGTCTAGCTTCAACCTGATTTATTTATTTCTGAAGACAAAAACCCTTACCTCAAATCAGCTAGTACGGCGACTCATTCTTCAGTCATTAGGCGAGCAGGTATTCATACACCGTTACTGCTTTTAATGAGATTGAGATACGTGGCGCATTCCTTTGTAAGCTCAATGGATCATGAGCGATTTACATTCTTCTTATGAAACATTGTTATGCTTCGTTCTCCATCCAAAGGGCTAACAAAACCGGCTAGCCATCGCACGCGGACTTCGCCAACCGGTTGACATTCTCCGTTCCTTGAACTCGGTTTCCCTACAAAGCTATCGAAAAAGCTTTCGTCCCGCGTTTCAATTCATCTAGACAGGCTCATCAAATGAATATAGGTAAAGATGAATTGAAGCCATAGTTTTTATAGTTAACATTGCGGTAAACTCATTGAAGCATTAATGAAAGGGTTGGTTCTTTTCGGGTAGCGAAGCACCTCTAATATCCGAAAAATAAGTCAAGCCGCCTGATGAAGCACCAAACAAAAACAATCGTTTCCAACTAGTCTGTTTATTTATTGACTTATTTATCTAACAAGAGGGCTCCGGGATCTCCATGCTATTGTAGGAACTCATTAAAGGTAGCATTTCCAAAACGAGCATCGGAAAAATTTTCCTCTAGAGGCGTTCGCTCTTGATGCAGAGCTCAAAAAAGCAGCAGTAGTGGACTCGCTTATAAACTGACAAATTACCAAAGATTCTCTTTGTTCTTTGAATAATTTTACTCCTTAGCGGAGTAGTGTACGATTACTGGAACGTTTACTTCTTTTGTATACGATTTCAGCGTGTGCCGTCGATCATATTGCCGTGAAACCGCAACAGTTCTTATGATGGCCAAGAAGAAGCCGATAGTAGCCCTTTTCGTTATTTTTGCCGACTTTTCCACTGCAAGATGGCTATTGTCGGTTCTTGTGACAATGTCGAGTACCGTAGTTAATGTTAACTCAAAGTTCAGTCAGGGTAATCTTCTAAATACATGGCGCATCCTATTGCTGCTGAGATCAGTGGGACGCGCATTCATTTGTCGCCAGTAGAAGAAGTTCACAAAGCATTCTTTCGAGGCAAATCGCTAAAGCAAAGAACCAAGTAGAAGTCACTTTCAAACTTCAGCAAATTATTTATTTATTAATAATTTTAATAAAAGTTATTACTCGTCGTTAGATGATCACCGCTTTTAACCAATTGTAGCATATGCTGGTCGAGCAGCTCCTGCAGCTGCAGGAACTACTGCTATATACATTGGTGCAGGTGCAGGAGGTGGAGGTGGGGGAGCTGGAGCTGCAGGAACAACTAATTGTGCTTGAACAACCGCTGGAGCCGCTGGAGCTGGGCAGCAGGCTGGTTCAGGTGGAGGAGGAGGTTTTGGCGTGGGACAAGGACACCTGAATGGGAAAGTTGTTACTGACAAATGTTCTCCTACAAGAATGTCCAGCAAAAAGTGAACATTGGTGCTCAAATAAATCATTTCTAAATTACATTCCAATGAAGATCAATAAAGCAGGCTAGTAGAAACAACTGAAACCAACTGTTGACAGCCACACATTCCACCCCCGAATCCTAGAAGTTGCCATAGAAATGCTTCAGAGGTGGCTACCACCGATAGAAAAATTAGTGAGAGCCGCATGAGGGGATGAATGAAGGGTTCGGGATGAATCCAATTTATAGCAGCACGACCAGTTGCTGCTTCACAATACCCCAGGTTTCACAATTGCAGTTTTCAATGTTTTATTTGATTCTCGAGTTCTCAGAAGGGCAACTGGTCATTAGTGGATCTCGGCAGGTGTGATGCTGCTTCTGACAACGTGCTACAACAAAAAACTCGATCCACATCGACGTCAAGACTGCGGCCGTCGGCCGGATGTCCCATATTTTCTCCTTTTGAATGATAGCCACTTGTTGATATTGATTATTGAATATTTATTGAAATAACAAAATAAACAGAGACAGAACAGAGTTACTTGTACGTATTGATTACTTGTTTATTTTTTAGAATCGTAAATATTCATCGCTATGTGATTACCACGTTTAACCTATCGTAGCATATGAATACGACGGTGCAGCAGCTTTCGGAGCAGCAGGAATTAACGCCAACGTATATACTGGAGGTGGTGGCGGTGGAGGAGCAGTGGCCACGGGAATCACAGGAATCACTAATTGTACCGTTTGTGTTGGGGCTGGGCAACAAACAGGCTTGGGAGGAGGAGGTTTTGGTGTCGTTGGGCATGGGCATCTGAATAGGAACGTCATTACTGTTCTAGTTATCAATTAATCGCTGCAAATGGTTGTTTCAGGAGTGTCCAACAAAGAATTGAACTATGATGTTCGAGAAAATCAATTTTGGAACTATTTTTCTGTGAAAAGTAGTGCAAACAATAAGCAGAAAATTATAAAACTCACTCTACACAGGCGCACCTATTTCCCAATCCGAAAAGGTCCCACCAAATTGCTTCGGATGTAGCCGTAATAGAGAGAAGAACTAAACAGACCAACATGGCGGCATGAATGAACAGTCTGTTTTAGATCCTTTTTAAAGCAACATAACCAGTTGTTACTTCACAATACCACAGGTTCCGCGGATGCACGGGTTTTTTAATAGTTCCAATTCCTCCTCTGATAGATTTGACACGCTAATGGGATCCTTATCGGGGAACCTTGTCGATACTAATCCCATCAAACCGACAATTCTTCTGAAATGATGCCAACGAAAAGCTAGATGTACCATTCCGATGAAATTTTCCTCCCGAAAGGATGGACATCGCTCTTGGAATAATGTTAACAGATTGACATTGTTCACTAAAAATTTATTACAGCAACTCAATAAAAACAGGTAACAACTATTATAAGGTAGAACAAGATATCGTTACATGACCACTACTTTCAACCAACATATACATTGGCCGGAGCCGGAAAAGGCACTCCTCTGACTGGAGGAGCCGGCGGAGCAGAATACGACGGTGCCGCTGCATAAGGAGCACCTCCAACCATTTGGGGTGCAGGCGCTGCTCCTATTTGAGGTACAGGAGCCGCTACATATTGAGGTGCAGGAGCTGGAGCTGGTGGAGCTGCCATCACAGGGATGACTATACGTGCTTCCGCAGGAACTGCTCTTACAGGTTCCGGTTCCGGTTCCGGTGGAGGTGCAGGTGGATGACAAGGCGGTATAACCGGAGCCGGTGGTATGGGCAGGCAGGGGCAGCTGAAACAAGCATAATTGCTGGCGTATTTAGGATGAGTTAGGAAACTTTTTTGGAAAAGATTGTTGTAGAACTAATCTGAAACGGTCTTTCAAAAAAAACACTTTTGAGATGAATAGGGGAAAACCAGAGGAGCCTACGGTGTACAGCCACAGTTGTTTCCTCCCAATCCAAAAATTGACCAAAGCCAACCCTCAGTTGTGGCAATTGCAGATAGAAGAATTAAACTTTTCAGCATGTGAAGGTGGACGGAAAGATTAGCTCAAATCCATTTTATATTACCGTTTTTATTAAGCGATGATACAGGTTCCACAATTGCTAGCAGTTCTTCCAACAGTTTCTCATCTACGGGATACTCACGGACTCCTTATTGGGACAACTGGTCGTTAGCTAATCCTCGTAAGCCGATTGGGAGACGCTATCAGTAAAAACCTGAACACCCATCAATGTCGAGAACATTGCCCTACGTTGTTCACATTGTTTTCACCGTCGAAATCATATTTATTCACTGATATCATTTGATGATTATTCATTGAGATAACGTGCAGTAACAGGTAGTAAATATTTAAGTGAGTTCTAGCATTATAAATAAACATCTCTACATGACCATTTCACTTTCGAGGGGCAGTGACGTATCCACCGGCTGCTTGTGGCGCTGATGCTACCACAGGAGATGCAGGCACAGCATAAGATTGTGCTGCTGGAGCCGGCGCAATCACTGGAGCTGCTGGAGGTACAGAATACGTGTTCTGTGCTACAGGAGCTGATGCAACCATTGGACCTGCAGGCGCTGCAACTGCGGGACGTGCAGGAGCTGGAACCTGGATCACGGGAAGTACGTAGCGTGTTTCGCCTGCAGCCGCTCCTCCTCTCGAAGCACAAGGATCAGCAGGTGGACAAGGTGGAGGCGGAGGAGGAGGAGGTGGACGTGGAGGAGGAGCTGGTCTTGGAGCACAAGGATCTGGTACACATGATGGCACCGGAGGAGGAGGTGGTGGAGCACAAGGATTTCCTCCACATGGTGGTGACAGCGAAGGAAATGATGGTAATCTTAGTGGTGGTAATGTTGGCAATGATGGCAATGATGGCATGCAAGGGCATCTGAATAAATCGTCGTTACTGACCATAGTCGTCGACAAATGGACTACTGCTAGTCCAATAAAACTTCTTTTTTGAAAAAAAGATTTCAAAGAAAATAATGGAACCTACGGATTACAACCACATCCTGATCCTCCTCCACCAAAAAGATTGAAAAGGAATGCCTCAGAGGAAGCAAGCGCAGACAGAAGTATTAAGATGAGCAGCATTTGGGGATGGATGACGAAGGGAAATGGCTTAAAGCCTTTTTATAGCAATACGACCTGTTTTTGCTTCACGATGCTTCAAGTTCCACCCTAACAAGCTTTTTTTAAAAGATTTTTTTGGCTCGAAACGCTAACTGGCTTTTTTATCAAGTCATCTGATAGAAAGCTGATCGCTTTCAGACGATCCGTGATTTTGCCGGAGCAAAAAGCTAAATACGAATCAACGTTGAAAACCATCTTCCTGCCTGATGTACTGGATGTTTTCGTCCTTTTGGTACGATATTGATGTTGACATGCCCCATCGATTCATTGCTATGCGCCCGTTCTTATTCTCCCCTTCTCTGACGTCAACGTGATCCTGTTCATTTTACAGAGTAGTACGTACAGAGACTATGTTTACTATTTTTGATGCGGGAGATAGGCAAAGGGCTTGGCCAGATTGGGCCAGTTTCGATCCAACCCTTAATCTTAGATCATGTCTTCAGTGGTGGTGCCTTTTTTACACTATTCCATCTTCGTCGAAGAAAAAAAAGCGTAATAATTGGACTAGTTACATGTCCCTCCCTAGGATTCATCGATCCTCAAGTCTGATAAATTTAAGAATTAAAAAAAAACTAGTCGAAAATTGCACCTCTTAGATAACAATGTAGGCGCTGGAATGCCTTTAGAAATTGGGGTGGATAAAAAAAAGGATAAAGTTTTTGGCGGTAATCAATCCCAGCTGAGGGAAACGCCCCGCATCCAACTTTCATTCAGAATCGTAGTGACGAACCTAATGCGTATGTAGCCTATACGATTCCTAGCGGCGGCCAACCGATGTAGAAGTCAGTGCTTTTATCCTTCCAGACGAGTCTGGTACCGATTGACCGACTGAGGGATGGAGGACTTGGATGGCCATGGCGGAAATCGATCCGAAATTCGAACCTGTCACCGTGCGTGCGAGATATGTAGAGCGCCACTTGCCACTACACCGCCGCCGTCCTCAAACTAAGGTGGGCAGAGTTTGAATAGTAGAGTATAGCATTTCTATTGAAGTGAAATATGCAACCGTAGGGAGGGGGTGGCGTGGCAAGTGACGCACCAACACACACGAATGGTCCGAGGATCGAATACGGAACGATACCCGTCCATGCCAACCAAGCATTCCATCTCTCCGGGTCAGTTAACTGGTACACCGCTCACTTGGGAGGATAAAAATATTGAGCTATAGTGAGCCAGTGAAAAAGTCTGGAACGCAGTGAGGTCGCTATCCCTGACCGACTGTAAATGCCATTCTCTGATCATTACTTTACGGGCTAGGGTTGAAAAGAAGGTCAGGCTCACAACTCCTTCAATGCTGCTATGAAAAGACAACAGTTTTGCCTTTGATTTGTAAATTGCAGTATAACCATCGCGAGCCTTTCCAGGTTTGGGAAATAAGTGAACCCATCGTTCGTATGGATGTAGTCCTAACTAGACGCATAAATTCTTGTCGACATCCGACCTGAGAAGTTGTCTTTGAGCCAACATTTTTTTCACAGCCACTAACAAGTTTTATTTGGAGCTGTTTTTTCGAACTGCTGACCGTAAAATTGAAAAAATGGTCCTGCAACATCGTTCGATCGCCATTGTTGAAGCCTCTGATAACCCGTTTGACGACATTCAGGAAGACTGAGACCTGATAGTTAACCTGCCAAAAAGTCTGTTTCTATTCAAACATTTCGGAAACAAGCAATTTATTCTTATTAGTTTCATAAACATCAAAATATACACACAAATAAGCTTTTTTTGAGGTGTTGTGTCAATTCCCTGGTAAGACGTAACCTTCGTTAACCACAGAAGCTGCAGGAACAGTAAGAGGAGCTGAAGGGAGTTTGCTGACTGGAGCCGAAACGGCTTCAGGGACTGCATAACTTGCAGGTGGAGCAGCCACTGGGCCTCTGTAGGCCGAAGCCGGAAGAACTTCTGGAGCTGCATAGCTCACAGGTGGTGGATGAACTGCAGCTGCATGAGGCGCTATAGCAGGAACAGGTTCTGGAGCTCGATAGCTAACAGATGGTAGAGCTTCAGGAGCCGGATACGGAGCAGGAGCAGGAGCAGGAGGAGCCACAGGAAGCAGATAGATCACGGTCGGTACTGACGGTGCAGCAGACTGTGCTGCTGTTTCAGGTACACAGGCTGGTTTCGGTGGTGGTGGTGGTGGTGGAGGCGGAGGAGGACGAGGGGGCTCACAAGATTGAGGGCAGAACATAGCTGGGCTTCTGAAATGATGTTAGCTTAGTTTTTAAACTCCAAAACAGAAGTAAATTAGTGGAGAATCAAATATGCACTCACGGGCAACAACAACAGTGCTGTTGTTGTGGGAAGAGGAAGGAGAGGAAGGAACTTACGGGGCTAGCCAAAGAAATTAGAACTATTAGAAACAGCATGCCAAATATTGGTGTTAATGAGCGTTCCTCTCCCCTTTTATATGGGAAGGTAATTTTGCCCTTTCTTCACCCACCTACGTCTTCAAAAAAATGCTCTCGCTATTACCAAAAAACTATATCAGAACAAGGACGTACTGTACTGTAACGGTTACGATCCAGTGGTGATTCTATGTGGGATGAAGACAGGTCGTACGTTTTTCAATAACGCGAGGCTATCAATTTCAATAGGAAATCTCTTCGATGCATTTGCATGCGTAGCCTTGGAATGAAGTGGAAAGACAAATTTCCGCTGCACGTACAAGAGCAGACTTCAAGGACGTATCTCACACAACGGCTCGACAATAGCGTAAAAATTCCATAGGCGCAAAGTTGTAAGTGAACGGTACAGACATTTAGTCCCGCATTGTTGCCGAAACTACAATTTTTGTTTATTTATTGTTTATTGTTAGGGCGGAGGGTAGAGGTGGTATATTGGCACGTGACGCGCTATCACACATGCATGGTCGCGGGTTCGAGTCCCGGATCGGCATACGCTTAGGCCAACCCATGCTTCCATCCCTCTTGGGTCGGCTTATTACTAACAACAAAAAACTGATCGACATAGGGTAAGTACTTGTCAGAGGTAGCTCCGCTCAATCTCATCTCTAATCTCAAACGGCCTAAACATTCAGCGCAATAAAATAGATGGAGTATTGTCTAGGGATGCCCAATCCTTAGTATGGTCTTAGGATCGAGTCCCAACAGAGTCTCAAAAAATATCTGGTTAGCGCCAAAGAAAACTTCGTCTTTCCATGTTCGACTTCATGGTTAAAATATCAAAAAATAGGTGGAAACTGGACATAATTTTTCCTATTCAGCGTGTGCTAGTTACATAAAAGGACTAGGGAGCACATACCTGTTTTGCAAAACCGTCCTCTGCAGTGCCTTCTGTAGAGAATCGGTTGACACGCCTAACAGGGGGCTCTCCTGGACTACGACACCTTGTGGCACTTTTTCGAGCCTATTTTGACTCGACACTACTACACATTGTCTCCTGTGGACCACTTCGTTCCCATTTGGAGAACTCTGAACCTAGTCCATCCTCGGTTGGGTCTTCAACCTTGTGAGTCATATGCATAAGTGCAACATTTCGATACCCGTGTTTTCAAGCAAAAATATCTCCACCAAGCTTATGGTTAGCCTTTGTTTTGATTGGTCTCTCACGGTTTCATCACCTTACTAACTGAGAAACCGGTTTTGTTATCAACCCCCACAAACTTGCAACACACGATCCATAACACTTGAAAAAGCCGTCTGAAAAGTTAATAATGTAATTAAGAGAAAAGAAGTAAGGAAGTCATTGTTTTGCAATTCAGAAGCCTTCGAATTTCCGAAGAGCTTGATCTTATGTCAGTACAGCTTGGGACGAGTTTGTCGATAGGGGCGTTTTAGTGAGCACAAGACCTAAGTTTCTCCATTTCTGGGTCCTTTTTTTTGCTATGCAGACGCCATATTTCATAGCGAACCTTTTCACACAGATCGGATTCCTCTTCTGCAATATTAATTTATCGCGGAAGGTACTTTGAAGTTAACGTTTGAAGGAACAAGTCCACTCTAGGAGAGTTCGACTGTTTGCACTACCAGTGGACACATTATCATTATAGAACTGTTACTGCAGCATCTACAAAAAATCGCCTCTATACTATCTGACTGAATGACACAGTTGTCCAGTATTAGGCTCAGGCCTCGAAGGTCATTATTAGCATCGCCGTTGGTTAGCGTGGGTAGACATCGAGCGGAGAGTCGAGCTCCGGATCATACCTGTAGGAATATTCCACTTGGCTTCAGCGCAGCTAAGGCGATGCCACTATGAATGAAATTTAGTCCAGTCAGAGATATCAGTTTTAGAAGGGAAAGAAGGGCAGGATGTGTGGTATCCGAGTACGAGCAAGGAGGAACTATCGTCAAGCTTGCATCTTAATTAGGTTATCGCGAACATGATCAAAGATGAACCTATTTGGCAGCTATGGCAATGCGTTAACCCTTTTCCCCTTTCATCTTTCTTTTTCTACATTGTTATTTTAGATCGCTATCTGCAACGAGAAAAGGAAACATTAAAAAAACAGCAGTGCGAGAAAAAACGCGAAGAGAAAAACGCCTTCTCAAAAGAAAAGTATCTCATCATCAAATGCTTTCTAGCGACCAGGCCTGACACAGACGCAGAGATTTTAATGGGGCCATTAGGAAGTTGTCACCACGTGGTACTTTCCGATTCCTGTCTCGGGAACGGCGGGGCTCTGAACCATCCACTCTAGGAGGAAGATTCTTTACCGGTGCTGGAATTAACATTTTGGTTGTCCTTATCATTGTCCACCTAATGACTTGTTTGTGGATACACCTATTTTCATCTTCGGACTCTCCATTCACCCAAAAACGAAAACTCGGTGAGTTACGCTCAGCCAACTGTAATCATTTTGGAAGGTTTGGTGGGCTTCGGGTAGGATTCATTCTATAATTAGCTTCCTGAACCAGTAGTAGTTAAGTTCAGCAAGTGAACGATTCTCGAGGTGAAGCAGTCTTTTATTAATCCAATTCTTCAAAATGTACAAAAACTCAATCTATTCCTGAGCGGCCTTCCACTATTTTCCAACGTAGCTGTTCGATGGAGGAGCGTATTCTGTAAAAAAACGCATTATGTCAGAAAGACTGTACAATTAGTGGAAAAGAAAAACTAACGGGGCGGAGGAGGCGCATATACAGGAGGAGGTGCAGCACAACCGCCTCCACATGGTGCAGGAGGAGGAGGAGGACAAGGGCAAGGCGGAGGTGGTGGAGGAGGTCTGAAAAATCACATGTAATCTGGATATAATGTATTTGTATGAAAAAGTTAACTTACGCGCATCCACAACCACCACCTCCACCACCACCTAGGAGGTTGAAGAGGAAAGCATCTGTGGCTGAGATTACGAGGATCAGGCACAGAATAAATGTCTTCATGGTTAGGTTGCTGAGTGATCAGCAAGCATAGCTTATATAGCATACCCCTAAGGTTTCAAGGCTACAAATTGAATGGAAATTCGCAATTCACAGTTCCGGTATTGAGAGATGTAATCGCGCCAGAGCATAATATAATTGACTTAAGAGGGTGTGAAGCGGTGAAACGAGTTCTGTCGGCCAATCTCGTACAAAGGCCCCTTAAGTGGGCTTTATGCCAATTTCTCAACCTTCTTGCGATTTCCAACCTTCCTGAAAGCAGTGCCGAGAATTGTTAGAGATCTGGTTAGTTGGCTAACCTAGTTGGCTAATTAGTTGCTCATGAAAATTGAAAGTTGCTCTAGTTAACCTGAGACTTCTGAAAATTCCCTTGTCCTGAGCAAAATTAAGCAGAAGTTCCCCGAAAAGCGTAAAGAGTGAGAGGAGGTGGTATAGAGGTAATGGGCTCTCTACCTCGCATGGTTCGGGATTCGATCTACATAGATCGACACTCACCTAAGCCAAACAGGCATTCCATCTTCTAGAATCTGATGATTGTTACCAGTTTCGTCTGGGAGGATAAAGGGACTAAGTTGTGCACCGACAATAATTGTATAGGTCACATATGCTTCAGAACGTCACTACAATTCTGAATGGAGTGTGTGTGCAGCTTATCTTAAGAACGGGGTTACTCAGAGCCGAGTCCAGGAAGAAAGCAAAAGCCACGGTTGGTTGGTATCCCCTCTAACCCCCTGCTATAAGTTTTTATACAGCAGTTCACTTTCTTCACTAAGAACTTTTTTCCTTGTCATTTTCCCGGATTAGGTGATGACCACCATAGAGACTTCCTTCCCATCAATGAAAGTTGTCTTCGACCACACCTAGTATTGAGTAATACAATGGATTGTCGCATGTATGTAATTTGCCTTTTTTTCGAATTGAAGGCATGAAAGGGTAATTTAGGTAGTCACGTAGTCACGGTCACCGTGTTTTTGGTTCACAACCCTATAGTTGCCCCTGCGTATTCGGCTCACTCTATCAGCCCGGTACCATTTCGCCTGTTTTAGAGGAGTCGATCGAATTTTGTGATTCAGACATGATCACCACTCAAACTGTCCCCATCTCTTTCTGTGACTGGCCCAAAAGTTACAGTAGCTGGAGTGAAATAGTAAATACTGTAGGATCAGAAGGACCAATTGGAAGTTTTTTGTCAGCCAACGTAAACTTTTTGCATTATATGATTCTGTTTCGATCATTCTTTCTTAGTTCTGACTGAAATCACACGGGAAGCTTGTCCTTCGTAGGATTCGTCACATTTCGTGGAAATCACTGTGACGAAGCGATTAAGTTGTGACATGATGCTGCCTAGACTAAGTGGACAAGTTTCGCGGGAATCTCAAGCGGGCATCATCCAGTTCTCCGAAATACGCCCAGGCAATCGACCTGTCCGTGAAAGCTAAACTACATTCTGGCCACTTCGTCATTCATCGTCATTCCTCAAGCGATACTCAGACCACATTGGTTGTTACTCAGAGCTTATGGCATACCTTTTCCTTGAACGGCTCTTCTAGGATTCACCCTTTCAGTATTTTCTCCCACGCTGAATTTCCTTAATCCATTTATTTTCGAACCCTATACGCTTTCGATGCAGCACGCCATTTTCTTCTAGCTCTTTCCTGACGATTGTCTTCAGGTAGATGGAGAAAATGGTGGTCTGCACTGCTTCCTTAACTGACCGGGAGCGGATTTTCGTGAGCGCTGTAATCCTTGATGGGATCAATGCAAAAAAATGATTCTTAAGCAAAAGTCCTTGAATTTAAGGAATTAGTGAGCCCAAATACCCCATCGAACAAATCTCCCACTTCAACACAACCCCAGAATCTCCAAAACTGCAAACTGTAACACCTTTTAAGGTACCAACGCAAAGGAGAGAACAAGTTTATCGAATAGGTGAGTACATATTATTGACAAGGTGGAGCACCAGGAGATCCCATGGAAGTGGCCACAATCTTTGGCTGGGGCTTTGCACAGGAAGGGCGAAAAACGTCAAACGAGCACTGAAATTATAAAGCTTCTCAGACGGTAACAAAAAGCATCCGAAAAGTCTCTGACCTGCAAGTTTTCATCAACTGTCATCATGGCAGCGGCATTATCGAATTGGCCACAATAATGAGGAGCCGAAAAAATGGTCTGAAATGACTGACTTTTCAACAAACAAATGTACACATGGAGTAGGGATGAAAAACTGTTACCACAAGCTTTCGCCCTCCGAAAAACTCGTAACCATCTTGAACGACTTGGTGAGCTCGAGCAACCTGAAACGGAGCCAATTTTATCCGGCAGCATCAACAACAACCCAGCAAAACTTGGCGGAATTTCTCACTAAGTCGATGTTGAGGAGTTGACAGTACTTAGCCAAAATATCGGGCCCGAATCCATATGAAGCACCGCGAATGTTTGCCTTAATACGTGAACTAAATTCAGCTACCGCACGTTAATATCCGAAACGACAATCAGACTTGATGGCATAGGCATAACAGAACCATGAAAGGAAATCCCACAGTGTTGAAGCTGTCACAGTTGCATCTCAGAAAGCAACCCCTCCTATCTCCTGAACGAAGAGTGGCAGCAGATAAAGCAAGATAAGGTAAGGATTACGGTGGCACACTGGGAACGTATTGCGTCAGGAGTGAAAGGGTCATCTTCATGTCATCCAAGGGCAGCGTTCGTTTCGTAGTTTCGATTTCCGGCAGTCGTTGCAACTTAGAATTTCATCCTTTCCCTACCTGGAAACCGTTCAGTCCAATTACTGGATCGGCCCAAAGTAGATCCATTTCCAGGGTTGCTCCCAGTGCGTCAGTGGGCCTGAGAAAGAGCATAGAGTAGGAAAAAGGAGTTGGATTTTCAAATTACAACCCACTGATTGCAACTCATCTGGCGATTTTCGAGAACTGAGAGGTAGGCAATTAGGATTTACCTGGCTATATTCCTGAGTTGATCCAATGATTGCAAGTGAGGTGACAGACCGCCATGCATACAGAGAATTTTGTCACTAACAAGGGCTGTCAAAGGCATTACACAGAAAACATCCTAAAGAGGCAAGAGAAGATGATTGACTGCCTGCCCACATTTACAGAGGAGCTCAAAAGGTAACGAAGGATCGGCAGGATGACCGGGTAATTGACAGCCTACAAATACACGAGTTCCCAAGCTTGGTAGGGTCTATACCTGAAATGCCTGCCACATTCGCTGGCTTTGATAGCGCCTATTGCATTCCTCGTAAAATCCGTAGGCACGGTTGACGTTAGCACATTCGTGGTTTCCTCGTAGCAGAAAGAAATTCTTGGGGAACCTCAGCTGAAAGAGTCTCTCCGACAAAAAAGTCTGATATGCCAAAGTTATGACGCCGTACGAAGTCCCACTAGGAAGGCCATCAAAGGTTTTTATTACTTGTTACTTTGAAGGGAAATGGTACTTTTCTTAAACCTGAGTACCCGCATGGCCCACTGGAACTGCTTACCCTCAGGAGGTAGGCACAGGCCTCCCCTGTCGTATTCCTCATGTTCGCAGACGAGTCCGATAGCAACTGACCTAGTCCGAAAAGAAGGACTGGTGGTGTGATCACTTGGGTTCGCCCCTTTTCCGTCTTCGCTGATGTATGAAAAAATGTTTCTTCCTATCTGATGCTTACCTTATATGCAATCATTAGAAGTATTACTTCGAGATTCTGTTTACCTCTATCCACATAATCACCCAAAAACAAGTAGTTTGATAATGGTGGAAATCCACCCTGGAATAAGGATTTGTCCCAGAATCGAATGCCATTTGATATCATTTGAAGGCTATTTTACTGAGCGGTCAGTAAAAATTCCGTAGAGAATGTTTTTGTAAGTTTCGCAAGTGATGACAGTTCTTCTGCTACAGTCGCAACCCTTTCACTTCTAATGTCGGAATTATCTGACTTTGGTTCCCGGTAAGATACCAAAGACAGTATCTAATATTGCTGGGGACTTTCCGAAAACGAACACCGATTAAAAGATGAGGCCCCGGTTGAGATTAAGGTTGCGATGACTGTTTTTCCATCCAGGTTTTATGCAATTTGGGCCCCTCTTGGAGACCCGGGGAGCGCTTGATTTCTACTCGCAGTGCTCTAGAAGAGTTGCTAGATAAGTATGAATCAAACGGCTAGGGACAAGGGTGGACTAACAAAAGAAGGCCGACCTTGTTGAAAAGTCTTAGAAGATCAATATACTGCCCATGAGTATCGCCACATATTTTAACAGGTGAGTCAAGTTCTACCATAGGAGGTTGAGACAGAAACATCTCACGAGCTTTACCTGAAATAAAGGATACTAAATGGCTTTAGCCATCACTTGCAATGTAAACAGTATGACTGGCAGCTGTAAATAGGGCAGACTGCTTTGCAGGTACTGATTGGCTAGTCTCTGAAGTCTCGTCCCTGAAGAGTGTGTGGGGCGGTTATGCCTGAGTTGATGTTCCTTACCCAAGCCCAACCGCTTCAGATGTCAATCATTTTTGAAAGGAAAGCAGCTTCATTCGAGGTAACTTGCCACTGCGATAACACCCATGCAGCTATCACGGACTGACCGACTGTCAGGGAGCCGATTCAATGAGTGAGCATCATTCTAGTAGGCTGAGTCGATCGGAGTGGGATGAATCCTTCCTCATGAATTTCTGTTCAGAAAGGTTTCAAGAAGGGGAATTTCGTTCTTCAAGGCTTGTTAGATTTGATGAAGCTTTCACCAGTAAGCTCACCTAGTACTTCCATTATATCGTTTTCAGAAACCGTTTTCGTGAGTCCCTTATCTGGGAGTCCCACATTAAGCAAGTTAGTAATCAATTGAGTAGGGTCCATGACTGAAAACAGAAGCTTTGTAGCTATAAATTTCAAGTCATACGCTGCATTTTGAAAAGGATTGAGCAATCAAGGAGAAGAAACAGCCGTAAAAGTCTTAAAAGCGTCACTTATCTCCTTGTTGCAAGCTAGTATAAACACTAGTAAACTCACTTTCGTATTTGGTATTTATCTGTAGAACAACCACGTATAAAGTATAAAAGTATAGAAGTGATCTTTACCGCAATATTCCAATATCATCATGTGCATTATCGATTTTATCGATAGAAACAATCATTAGATGGGCTTCAATTCTATTCGTTACAACCTGGATAGTGGCTGAAGGCTCAGACATGCTCTATGAAGGTGATTCCTTCACATATTCCAAATTTGGATTTGATTTTTCGGACAAGATAGTTAGACAACAAGGAAAACAACACCATTACAGTATTCTTGTTGTTTATTTTGATTTATGATGCGGTATCAATCTCTAGCTGTCGGGATGGAAACGCTACTGTGCCGAAGGTGAGCGGAAGGTTTTACCTACATGAACTTAATCAAGTAGTTGTTACCTATTCTTCAGAAAGATCATGAAACTTGCACATTCACTCGACAACTGACCAGTGATTGCAGAACAGAAGGGTCTCCAGTATATGGAATAGACAAGAACTTAACGGTACACTGCATTTTTTAGCAGCTAGAGACCTAGCCGAATCCCTCAGCTTGGTCGTTATCACTTCCAGTTAGCAAATAAAGGCAGTTGATAGAGGTAATAGAAAGGTATAGCCCACTCGACTATGCCATGAAGGTTGTGGTAACCTTAGGCTCGACCTCCGTGGTGGTCCCAAGACGTTACTCCTCAGCCAAGGCTGGGTTTTGGGCCAAACAGTGAGTGATTCTACATTTTAGGGCGACAGATGTGAGGTGTCTAGCAACTTTACGCTCAGATGTCACTGTATGAGCAACATGTGCAACTCCGACGAAGCATCAATGCAGGCAGGTTCAGAGTTGCANTCAACATGTTCCAGGCGTTCATTCATCACCATCTGGAAGCGGACACCGGATGTTTCTGCACAGATTCATTCTGCTATCTCTACCTCATCTGCTACCTACAGAAAAGTGGTAATCGATGGTGGCCAAACATAAATGCAATGACCTTGATGTTTTCGGGAAAAGGCTTCTTGGGCTTAAAATAGAACTTGTTTCGAGAAGCTGGGATGCTAAAATATATGATCCTGACACATCGATGATAGACCTACATAGTTTCGTGGTTGTTGGCCGGATCATAGAAATGGACGTATTCCAAGTATCTCCCCAGGCCACATGATGTGAAGCAGTAAATTTGGGGTAGTGCCAGGTGTCGCTAGGTATCAGGCCCATGATCCAGGGTTCAATCACCCCCAGCACAGGCCTTCCATCCTTTTTAGACTGTAAATTGGCATCAAACTGGTTTCGCAGAGTAAAGTTCTTGGCCGAGCACCTTGTTCGGTTCTTTCACTACCAAAATTGAGCATATCGTTCCTCTGTTTCTTTATTTGCATTGTTTGACAAAACGTTAAAAGGGTTGGGTTTTTATAAATTAAGGGAGATGAGAATATGAATGGAGGTGAATTGGGAGTCTTGGTAGTTCAGTGGATAAGCGATGGTGGAGAGGACATGAAAAGCTGGCTTCAATTTTCACACCTAAGGTCTTCTGCGAAAAGCACTCTTACAGTGTCTGAGAAGTGCTTCGAGTTTGAAGTGAAGCACTGATTTCTGGCTGCTAGAGGCTCTAAATGGAAGCCAGTTCCCCCAGATTGAACTTTCTTCCCAGAGAGTCCTTGAATGGTTTTGCTTTATCACGACACCCGAGTATAAATGTTAATTTGAAACTGAAATTTATTAATTTCAGGTTTTCACAATCGTACTGGAGCTTCAAGGTTGAGCAAGGTGAATGATTGACAGTCTTTCTCGGTACGGCAGCATACCAACGGTGTACGGTAGGGAGCGGCAATAACAATTGTTCAGATGTCAAGGGTAACTCAGCTACTACATGCAAAGTCATGATACAGTTGGGTCTGGGGAAAAACACCTAAATAGGCTCACTTCCCTCCTCCAGACCTCTAACTAGTAACTTTGGGCAGAAGGGAGTAAGGAAAGTGGTCCAGCGATATCAAGTGCACACGACTTACTGCAATGGAGGGACTTTCGTTCTTGGTTGGCGGGTTGTTGTTTTTGTTTATTTTTGCACATGAGACGTAGAATTTCCCTTTCTGCACAACAAATTTAATTCGTATCATACTTACATTGTTATTTTCTATTTGAAAGAATCCTATATATAACACCCTACCTAGAAACTACGGGCGGATGTGGTGTAGTGGCGAATGCTGCACTGTGCCACACGGTCGAGGATTCGAATCCCGGATCGATATCTGCCTAGGCCAACTAAGCTTTCACTCCTATCGGGATCGGGTATATTTACCAAAGTCATTTGGGAGGATAAAAGCAATAACTTGTAGGTAACGTCTGGCACCCCCAAGACATTGTGGGCCATATACGCGTTCTATGTATACGCAGCTATAATCCTGAATGTAAGTGGGCGTGGGCGAGCAGTGTAAGTCAAGGGCAAGCATTCAATTATGAAAGGGACTGGAACCCACAATTGCGCTTCCTTAGTGCCTTCCAAACTATCACTTGCGCTAATGGGCCCTAATCCTCAGCTTATCAGAGCTGCCACTGAAAGGCAGCAAGCCCTTTGAAATTTTCGTTGATAGAAAATGCCCTGTTACAGTTCCACGGAGCATACGAGAATTTGCTCAGCGATAGGAATTCCAAAAAGCTTAAATATGCAAAGTCAATTCACTCAGAGGAAAGGTAACCTTCTTTGTTCTCCTTTTCTTCCTCACTTTTTCTTTCCGGAGATCCTGAAGTGTCAACGTCATTTTCAGCCCCATGTTCTTCACAGTGGTTGGAGTTGTCGTTTTTATTCATCTGTTATTGATAATCGGACTTATCGCCATAGTTTGGAAGCGAGATAATGGAAATACAAAGCAAACCTTGGCAGAATCAATGACCAGTATAGCGGAATGACAAATCGATTGTGATCATATTTTGTAGACAAATGACAATTTCTGGGAAAAATCGTTTTCGTTTTTGGTATTATTAACTTAAAGCTTTGTGTAATGACTACAATAAAGTGTAATGATTGAAGAGATTTTCTATGATAATGATAGTCTCCACGTGAAGATGCAAGTTGCCCGCCCCTGACAAAGATTCTCAGGCCGCTCCACCATCCTGCTCCTGCAAGGTTGTTTACTCTAGAAGAGGAAAGGGCAATGTGGGAACTTTCATTGGGTAACCCAGCGCAGGAAGGACGGCAATGTCGATAAGGATGATCCGGAAGTAGGATGTTTTTTGCTTTCTTTATTATCCCGTCGATGTGCCCAAACGCTACCCCTATCCCCTCACCTTGTGCCTTTCTGTCTGCCCAAGAAATTGGTGACTGCAGACATTTTCTCTCCCTGCTTGGATAGCAACAGAGTTCTCCAGCCTCCACAAAGTGATTCCCCTATACCGGACAGCTACCAGGTAAAGAGCCAGGGTAGGGTTCTGGTGATGACTGGCGGAAGGCCCCGTTGGAACCCAACGTTGCCAAATTCCCATTGGCGTGATGGCATATCGATTTCAGAAGGAGGGGACATCCATCAACCTAGGATGGCGGTGGGCAAGAAGAGGTGATGAAAAGATCCGAGTAGATCTAGCAGATAACCTTCTCCATTACACTTCGAACTGCAGTAACAATTCCGTCAGCACGGCGGAAGCAGGCACTCCTAGCATTGAAGTCTACAAAGCTCCGGCGGGCATTGTGCGACTCCTCTCCATTCTCAACAGTTCCGATCGAAGTGGAAGCACTTCAAAAACATGTTTACATGATTTTCCATTTATCCTTATACCCTTCAGCAGGGAACTCCTCACACCGGGGATGAGAGTGTTTCATTTCAATGTGAGCGGTTATGTTGCCAACTCGGCTCCGTCTTCTGGGGTTGTCACGAGCCAGTAAGTTCATGGTTATTCCAGGAACTAAGAAGAAGTCCTGATCCTAAATGTGAAGTTTCAGTTACCCGTCCATTACGACGACTAGTAAGTACAGAAAAGGTATGTACTCTTTGAATTCGAAACAGACTCGAGAACTACTACTCTAAAGGACTTATGTGATGAAGTCCTCTCGAAGATGGGAGGATCCTGAAGTGTAATCACCATAGATAAACTGGAAGACGATAGCTGTACCCCGCTCCCAGACAAGGCACACCGCAGGAAAAACCCACCGGAATGGGCTATTCCTACTACAGAGCTTCAAATTCTAACACTTCTACTGCGATGGTAGTAGTGTAACACACGGACGCAAGAAAAGCTACGCTCACTGCCACTACTGAGACCACGTGGTTGCTGCTCATCTACTCGTAATTTGTTAGCGAGTCTAGCAGTCTGCACGCCAAGTTGCCTTCTTATCTATCTGAAGATAGTGTTCAAACGTCGAGGGCTGTGATACAAGTGCTGTCATCGGAACCAACCGGCCAATATCGAAGCAAACCCAAAAATTGGCCGCTCTCGTGATCTATCAGTCAACTAGGATATTGTGATTATGATTACCCCTTTTGCTTCTTTATACAAGAGGAACCTCGCACTTGATGCCATATCAGAGAGTAGGCATTGGGTTACAGTTGGGCATGTGTCTATAATTATGTCGCGGAACAGTACGAAAAGCTGAACTCCCAGTTCGCAAGGGTCATCAAATAGCACAGTAATGAGTATACACTCGAAGAACGTTCGTCGGACGTGAGCCTATACACAATTAACACTATTCCAGGTCTGACAGGCCTGCTTCATGTCTATAATAAGTGTAGGATATGAACTGCGAATGGATCGGTTGGTCTCGCTCAGGATATCACCTGGCCATGAGATCTATTAAGCTTTTCAAAAAGCTTTATTCCGCCTTTCCACGCATTGAGACTGAATGATAGCAGAAAAGGGTTCATTATAGGGTCCTGGTTTTCCAGCGCCACTGTCAACANTTTCAGGAAGCTGCCCGGAGGCTTTATTCCGCCTTTCCACGCATTGAGACTGAATGATAGCAGAAAAGGGTTCATTATAGGGTCCTGGTTTTCCAGCGCCACTGTCAACATCACGGCGCTGGCCACGGGTACCTTGTCTAACTCCTGGCATTGTACGTATCGTAGCATAGTCGAGCATCGGAGGATATTTGAAGATGGAACGAGTACTTTGAAGGATGGCCCATGATCGAGTGCCAACGGTGGCGGAGGTTTTGAAGTCACCGGCAATCCATTGCATCGTTTCACTCCCCAATTACGATGGTGTATTTCCAGCGGAACTACGACTGAAGCAAGGGTCCTTCAATGCCCACTCAAAAGCACGACAAAGAGAGTCGTTTCCTGGATTAGAGAAATGGCTGATGCCAAAAAGCCAATTCTATTCTGGACGTTGGTCCGTCTCGAATACTATTCTTGAGAAGCAGAATTTCTAATTCCTGGGCTGAACATTTCATCGTATACTCCTTCGCATTTCCTTGATCACTTCTCATTATAATCAATTTGAAGACATTTTTAGCAAGAACCAGATGATCCAGCGTGCGACCCAAGTAATCCAAAGGAACTTACTTATCAACAAATCTCTATCGCTCATCATAAACTCAAGATAAGTCCCATGTTGGTAGTCATATATCAGCAAGTGAACGAATTCTTTCAAGGAGGTGTGATACGTACGGACTGCCGATATTCTCGCCACCTTTCGAAAATGACTGGTTGTGAAGTTTACTTGAAAATGGAAGTAAATCAGGTCAGAAAACTCAAGACCCTGAGTAGGAAAGCTCAAGATATCATGAATCTACCACGATAGACTTTCTCTTAATCTTGGCATGACTTTTGACTAGTTAGTATGTAAGTTTACTGCAGCCTTTCAAGATTAGAAACCTTATGAGGCCAACGTTTCGGCTAGCTCGCCTTCGTCAGAGCCTCAAAGTTGAACAACCATTGGAATAGATTCTGTAATAAGGCAAGATAAACCTAGACAGTTCTCTAGACTAGAAGACCTCTTGGACTGGACTAGATCGACCACCCAGCATGCACGCAGACGTTACATTCTGAGTGCTCGATCTAACGCTCCGGCGATTTAGATCAAGGTAAACCTCTTGTATACCGAGTCTAGGAGGTCTCCTAGCCTAGAGAACTGTCTGGGTTTATCTTGCTTGTTTATAGAATCTATTCCAATGGTTGTTCGACTTTCAGGCTTTGACGAAGGCGAGCAAGCCGAAACGTTAGCCTCATCAAGTTTGTAATCTTGGAAAGGCTGCAGTAAAATTACATACTAAATATATCAAGAATCGTTCATGAAAAAGTTCAAAGACACTCATCGCACTTTTTAAGGATACTGGTAGCTTCAAAGAAAGAGGTGGACGGTACGCATTGATGTGTCTCACTGAAGATGAGAAGAAAAACGGGGTATCATACCGAATTGTTCTATGGACCTAATATTCATGGTAGCACGCTAACAATGACACATCTCAAGATTTTGGGAAACAAGTAAACAAACAGATGCAATGATGTATCTATAATGTAAAACTTTCATTATGTTTCCTCGGACATTCCCTTTTATGAACCAGGAATGGACATGGCCTTGCTAGTCGGGACTTCGAAGGGAAAAATCTTCGTCTAGAAGATTCCATATGCTGAGCCGAAAAACCCTTCACACTATCGTAGTAGATTGGTGAAAATAGATGACAGAAAGAAGAACTCAGCATAATAATATGAGCTGGTGTAATGCAAAGTGGGGCGCTGCCACGCCAGTGATCCCGGGTTGAATTCTGGATCGATCCCCGTTCAATCAAACAGAAACATTCCCTCCCTCCTAAGTCATTTTTGAAAAATTCATATGAAATTCTCTAACATATAAGGGCTGATACCTCTAACTAACTGTGTAAGACACTTACCCATTTTGACGCTTCTGCATTTGGAGTGAAAATCAGATGGGTAAGCTATTCTAGTAGGGCCAGGGTTCTATCCCAAATATTATTCTTTTGATTTTTGACAGAAGAGACGACGAAATCCTCATGCCTTTTCATCATCACCCTTTACATTTAAGGTCTTCGCAGCATCGGCAGGCAACCATGCTCAAGCAATAGCGATTCATGGGAAACGACTCGGCATCAAGGCTAACGTTGTGATGCCTCGACATGCACCACTTATGAAAATCTCAAAATGCAAAGAACTCGGCGCAAATGTCATCATTGAGGTGCTTTTCTCCTATTTCGTTGGTATACTGCACAATTTGCTATATTAACTGCTCGTAATGGCTGTTGATAGCATTACATTGAACGTAGTAATGCTAGAGGGAAAAGTTTGGATGACGGGGGCTATTTATCGGCAGGTATCAGCGAGGAGTAGGGGCGTAGGTGGTGCAGTGGCAAGTTGAGCACTATATCACAAGCAAGATCAAGAGGGGGTTCGAATCCCGGATCGATGACCGTCTAGGCCAACCAAGCCTTCATCCCTCCGGGGTCGGTTAATTGGTACCAGACTTGTCTGGGAGGATAAAAGCACTGACTTGTACATCGTCTGGCCACCGCAAGTCATTGTATGGGCCGCATACGCACTCAGTATGCCACTGCGATTCTGAATGGAAGTCGAGTGCGGGGCGTTTCCCTCAGATGGGATTGATTAACGCCAAAAACTTTATCCTTTATCCTTTTATCAGCCAGGGGGAGCCACTTTTTCAGGAACTGTCTCATGTCAGACATAATTGTCAGAAATGAAATCGCACAGTCGCTCAGTGAAGGCTAATTTCAGGGAAAAGACATTTCTGTGTCTAAACAACTGGCTTTGAAGCTTGCTAGGGAAAGTGGAGGAAAATACATTAATGGATATGACATGATAGAAGTACTAGCTGGAGCTGGCACAGTTGCTGTCGAGATTTTTGACCAGGTTTTATATAACTTTTACAGGCCGCAACACCCACAAGATGTTCTAGTTCAGCACTCTTCCAATTTGAGAACCCGGGCATTTACTTGGATTTTCCAGGTTGGCGATGTCGATGCGATACTGGCTCCTGTAGGTGGAGGTGGATTGTTGGCTGGCTGTTGTGTAGCCGCTAAAGCACTGTCTCCGAACACCAAAGTGATTGGGCTGGTACCCGAAACTGTTCCATCTTTTATTGTAGGTTTTCTCTGAAACTCGGGCAGGTAAGGTTGCAAAAAACATCAGGAGACTGGGCGTTTATTCAGAAAGCACTTGAAGCTGGTAAGCCTGTTTACACAGGGAGCAATCCGACACTAGCCGACGGTTTGGCTGTACCTGTTGTTGGCTACAATTCATTCCATACTGTGAAAAGTAAGGAGTTTGGCTTTTGACTGGCTAGTTAGGGCGTTGAGGTGTCTGAGGAGCTCGGAAGTATTCACTGGAGATGTTGACAAACATTCATTTTCCTTCCTTCAGATATAGTCCACAAGGTGATTCCCGTGAAGGAGACCGACATCGCTGTTGGGATACTACGGCTACTCGAAACAGAAAAGGCACGTGAACTGTCTCAATTGAGAGCGGCTCCTTGCCTTCCTTGGCTCCTTTTTTTGTATTTTCCCACCTTATTCAAGTTGATATAACCAGTTATCAGAAGCGGAGCGACGTAGGGGCCAGTAGGAAAGAACGGGAAGGATTCATAGTACTCATGGGTACTACATATTGGACAAGCAAAAATACAAGTCAATGATCAGGTTGTTGCCGAGGGTGCTGGTGCTATTGGTCCTGCTGCATTACTTGCTGGAAGCCTTCCAGAATTAGCTGGAAAAAAGATTGTTTGTATTGTAAGCGGTGGAAATATTGACTCGACAATGGTTGGCAGATGTATCGAGAAAGGTAGTCACGCACTCTTACCACCCATTTTGTCTTCCTACCAAATAATGTAGTCTATTTAAGGTTTAGCCGTTGATCATCGTCTAGTCCGTTTCGAAGTGCTTATCTCGGATAGGCCGGGTGGTGTGGCCGAGATGAGTTCGATTATAGCTGGTTGCGGGGCCAGTATCAAGGATATGGCTATGGTAAATCAATGCTGAAAAAAGGGTTACATTTGGGTAATTTTAAAACGAATGAAGATGAAGAATTTATGATTTGGGGTCTATGAAGTAACATCTACTGGAATTTTCTCAGCACAGGACACTTCGAAGTTATTCAGAGTTCTACCATATTATAGGAATAGAAAGGATCTAGAGTTGACATAGCCATTTTGACCTCTGGAGATGCCGTACACTTTCAGGAACGAGCATTCCACCGAAGTGATGCGTTTACTGTAGCCGTCAGAGTAGTTGCGGAAACTCGCGACAGAGAACATGCTCACGAGCTCCATGACAAGTTGAAAAAGAGGTGAACCACATTCAACTACCTAGTCATTNGCGGAATAGTGGAATAAGAGTTACCGGATTGCAGATATGGTCCTGATAGCACTTTATGCACGTTCCATGGACGATTGAATTAATGGCGACGAAAAAAATGAAATGAAAACAGAATCTCAATCGCATTATTCTTCGAATTCGTCAACATTTATTCATTTTCGAAAGTGTCAAGATGACTTGTTTGGAGGATTTTTGGGTATAAATGTTGCACGCTCTTCCTCGGCCTACTCCCTTACAATTTCATCACTTCACTACTTGTCATCCGCGATTCGATTCCCACGCTGTGATAGGGGTCAAGATGGGTACATCGGGTATACCTGTAGATGTCGTTGTGCCATTCCATACGAACCGAGTCTCTGCACTCCCTCTCTTGCGTTGGTCTCTACGAATGGCGTGAAACAACACACTCGGGCTCAAGAAGTACTGCAGCGACCTCGAGCTACTGAACCAGTTTCAGCGGGACAGTGAACAACGGCACCTCATGACCCATACTGAACGGCATTAAGTTACATTGTACCCATTAGAAGAGCACTTGTCAACTATGTAGATCCATCGAAACAACGAACTGACAGCAGAACGCTCTAGAAGCTTAATGTCCTGGCGTGGTATCTCTAGAGATTCGGTCTTTGGACCACGGTTGTGACAGTGCAAAACCTGCCAGTACTTAAGGAATGCAAGGAACGCCCAATTAAGGGTTCGAGTCCCGTCCGGCGCCAATTTTTTTCCATCTTGATGAGACTTCTTACCGTGTATTGCGGCCACTACTATACCTTATTCGTAAAGTTTTTTGGCGTAGTTGGGGAAACGAATATAACCTACCATTTGCATTTGCTAACCGGGAGAACTTTCTGGGATAAATTGTGTGGGAGTGAAGTGCACTTTGGAAAGACCAGGCAAGCACACTGGAGTGATTCTAGAATGAGAATTTTTCGCATGTGTTTATGTTTTTTCGAGGCTCAAGGTGATTGAAAATGGGAAAGACTGAACAGCAGGATTGTGTAAAAAGAAAGGCTTTATTGTAAAATTAATTGCCTAGAACAGTGACCTTTGGCACTCTTACGTGCTTTCTTGTTTAGGGACGGCCGGACTGAAGAAGTTCAAATATGGAATCTCCATGATATGGATCTACTACCGACTCCTCTTTACAAAGTCGTCTCTATGCCTTCGAAGTCAGTGATAATGGGCTGGAGCGAAACCGCTTTGAATACGCAGCTGGTCGCATAGGGCACCACCTGCAAGGCCACCCAGACAGCTTTGCGCAGAGGCGATAACGTGACCAATGAGGCTGTGCCGAGGTGCGTTTATTGCTGGTTGAAAACTTTTCCCAATTGCCCGCGATGGTCCCTGAAACATGGGTGCCATACGCAATTTTTGAACGCCCCTAAGGGGCAGTTATACTAGGAAGATTTGGTAACGAAACGGTCTGGTCGCGGGATTTTGTCGGCGTAAGGTCGTCTCCTCAATCAGAAGTCAAATGTGAAATATGCCGTCGAAGTCGAATGATTTGTATCAACTGTGCACCAGAGGGTGCGCCATGCATTTAACTTCGCTCACCCGCTGTAGAATCGTTTGAATGGCTTTTCTATCAGGTTGACATGGACAGAAATAACGTCACGAATTTCAGAATAACGCTTTTATCGCACTTGTAATCCTTTCATTGCAGAGGGAAAGAGCCGATTTTTATTTTGCTGGTTTACTGTTATTGATTTTTTGTTACCTTCTTGTCTGATCAATTCTATTTGATCGATATGGTTCAGCTATCTGAACCCTGACTTACTTCTCTAAGTTCACAATAAAAACTTTTGTCTCCGGGGAATTTCTCATATTAAGAAAGTCGCGAATGTTGTTTCAGAAAAAGTTATCGCTCATTGTGGTTTCCATCCAGAATTACTTCGACGGGCGTTGTTTATTTTTGAATGATTTTTCGCCACTAGTTTGACTGATTCTTCTTCTTCATTTGTTGGATCAACGATTTAGAATGCATATGCATTTGCTGATACCAATTACATTACTAGTACTATGTAGTACAGAGTAACATTTTTATGGTTTGGATTGAGAGAAGATAGGGAATCACATGAAAAATGCAGGTCTTTGATGGCAAAAGGGTGACCATATTTTAGGACATCCGGAGAAGTAGCATCGAACAATCTACTGGTTCGTTTTTAGGTTTTACAGAACAAAGAGCCATCGTTACTGGTGTATTATACCAACCGGGTCATTTGGCCACGTACATCACAACAGCAAACTCGGCCCATATACGCTGCCAGCTGGTAAGGGCACTGCCAGAGAGGCCACCCAGACAGCTTTGCGCAGAGGCGATAACGTGACCAATGAGGCTTTGCCGAGGTGCGTTTATTGCTGGTTGAAAACTTTTCCCAATTGCCCGCGATGGCCCCTGAAACATGGGTGTCATACGCAATTTTTGAACGCCCCTAGGGGGCAGCGAGGGTGAGAGAGGGAAACCGATTGGAAGCGAGGTTCCAGCTAAGAAACTTCTTAACTTGCTAGAAATATCAGCTTTTGAAGGTGCGCGGTTATTTCCAAACAGGAACCTTTCTCTGCTCCCTCTCATGGAAAGTGTGGTTCACTAGAGGAGCAGCGCGATATGCGCCGCCGTTGTTAATAGGGTAAAGAGGACGTTTTTGAAGCGCTATGCGCTTGCTGCATATAGCAGTTTGCATGGTTTGATTTTCGAAGGAATTTGCTTTCCACGAGATGTTCACAACAGTCATTGGATAAGCTTGTGGTCTTCTGCTTACTTGTTTCTGCGTTTGTGACTGACCCCTATCTGAGGGATTTGTTAGTGGGAGCAGACACAGGGAGAAGTTCTCAGATAAATGCCTCTCCAGTTTGGAATTGGGATG